AAGTCACTTCAAGTACGCTGGTTTTTTTGCGTAACCTTTTCAGTTTTGTTTGTATATATTATACTATATTACTATATTATTCTGAATTTGGCAAAGAGTTGGATAATCTTGTAAGCCTCCCATGTCTTTAAGTCGCTTCTGATTCCCATGCTTTGCAAATGTATATTTTCATCCACAATTACGCACTATATGATATTTATTTTCGGATTTCGTGCAAAGAAAACAAAAATGAAAAAAATATCGATTGGCAAAAGATCCAGGAATCTTACTAACTTGAAATTTTGGCCACTGTTCGATTTGGTGTGCAAACATAACCAGACGACAAAGGACAAGGCGTGCTTACATGTGCGTGTGCATTAGTGCACGAATGAAGCTAACAGCAGATTATATGCATTTTAAACATTGTTACACTTTCTAAATTTGGACTGAAATGTTTTTGATGGAATTCGATGAAAACAAGACACTTATGTCAATTTTGAGTAATATTTGTTAAAAAATCCATTTTTTCTATTATCAGTTTTTTCGAGTCTTTCAAATCTTACGATCCTGAACTTTTGAACTTTTTTTCGAAAATCAAAGGATTTTTTCTGTAAGTAGCAATGTTCAAAATGCATAAAAATCCGACTTGTTTTATTGAAAGATGTATACTGTCTTCTGTTTGTTTGATTTTTAACTTATATTAAATTAGAGTACAAAATGTTCATCATTTTTGTAAAAAAAATTAATGCTGTTGATGAATAATTTTGATAATAATAAACTTGTAAATCTTTTACTTCGTTCAAAACTTGCAAAAGTAATTTCAACTCTTTTAGCTTGTCTCGAACTCTCCATCTTCTGCTTACTATTCTGCCGCCTTACCTATTGAGCTACTGCTTTGACTTCCCTTATATCGATTGTAGGATCCTCTTATCGCGGTTTAAATTGTACATTTGGATTTTTTTTGCAAAAGGTAATTTGCTGGGACCTCGAAGCGCCAGGTTTCGAACCCAAGTCTTGCTGTGTCCGAGTCGCGCGTGCTATCCACTCTCCCAAGTGTTCCCGCCCACCCACCCCTGGTAGACTTTCCTTTTATAGTAACTAAAGGGAATTTTTACAAAGGAATTTAGTATGTTCCAAGTGCCCGAATCAAACCCCCCACCCTTGGAGTACCGCCGAGCCAATGATAACGCTAAGCCATTTTGCATATTATTGTAAAATATTTTATTTGAAGCAAAATAAACTACCATTGATGTATGTATTCTCATATTTGTTAAAGATTTTAAAAATATTTAAAGCCATTTTATTTTTTGAATATCCAGATATGTAAATCAAAAATATTGATATCTGCATTAAAACTCGCTCAAGTTTGATTTGATAAATAAACTATCTAATTATCTACTTGGCTAATGCTTAATCTCAGATAAAAATGACAATCAGATTTTTCAATTTCATTTTAAACAAAAACAACGGCAGATCTAGTAGCTGTCTCACCCCACACCACCGCAGAAAAAATGATTTGATAAATTATGATTAAAAAGTCTCCAAATTGCCAAAAATTTCAAAATGTGACACCCTTTCCAAATAACATGTTTCTGCCACTGTTTTTGTTTCATTTTAACCATAGGGTGCTGTGATTTTTTTCATATTTTATACGACATAAGATTTCGACAGCTATTACTTGGACGGAAAAACAAATTTTTACTGTTTTGCAAGAAATTGTCACAAGCAGTTTGTGAAATATATTTCAACATTTAACAGCCACCAATACGTTCAAATACTCTACAAGAGATACAATTAACGGGGAACGTGAAAAAATCCCCCAGAGACATTGATTATTGAAAAAAAAACATTTAGCCATTTATTTGCAACGTGTAATTATCAAACCTAGGCAAAATGGAGGGACAAATCATGGTGCTACTTATAACACCTTGCACTTATATTTTAAAGTCGAAAAAATTGTAACAAATGTTTTGTAACTTTCTGAACATAAATAATGTTCTCATACAAGAACGTGAACATCATTTATGCATCTGCTGCTCGATATACTGAAGCTGCTATTTGTTAAACAAATGCAGCAGAATTTTGAAAATAGCACACTTTGGATCACATGACTGTTCCCTTCATCTTATGCAAAAGTGAGATCTGTTCACCAAATTAATGCCAAAAATGCAAGTCAAAATCAACAAATAATTTTTAAAATATTGCACTTACTACACACCTTAACTTTAAAAGAAAATCGGTAATATTAAGATTACAATCCAGATGAGCAAATTTAGATAACAAAAATCGTTAACATATCAAGGTTCTTTTAATACACAGTTTAACCGGTAGACAGATTAGCCAAATCAGCTTTCAACTACATGTAATTTTCGCAAATTGAGTCTTAAATGTGTTAACTCTATATACTACATTACTCAAACAAAATGATCGATTGTGGTCCATAGAAATGACACTTTTCACTCAACAAGACAGCAAGTTTCCAAGCTTCAAAAGATGATACAGATACGAGTTTAAAGTAACTAGATTTTGAGTCTTCCTCGCTATGGAGATCAAGACTTCTTAATTTCACAGGTGGCGATAGAATGATAGAAATTTGGAACCCCAAACGGGATTTTCAGATCGTAGTTTTCGAAACGGTTTTTGTATAAAGTAAACATACAGGGAAAATTGCTGAAATTTCCAGATTTTTTTTGGCTTTGGTCTAACCCGCATTGCATGCCTTCAAAATTGAGAATTTAAGTCCAGGAGCGAGTGTAAATGTTGTAAATGCCAAGTTCCATGTGACGAGTGAAATGCTCTGAAATTTTTTAATCTTTTGATAGAATTTTGTCAACTAAGCATTAAGTAATTTTAAAAATGGATTGAATTTTCTATGTTTTTTTTTTGTAAGATCATCAACGTAAGGCTGCTTCAGAGTGATTTATTTCTCTTCAAAGTATTGTAAAGGACGCGAAAAAGTAACATAAATCACCAATCGTGCAAAATTAAGTGAACAGAGTTTTCAAGGTTTTTGTCTTTTGATGAAAAGGTCAAATTGAGCTTCAGTTTTCCTTGACTAGAAAAATAAGTTTTCCGTTTTATGAACATTATATTTGCAGTAAAATAAATGTCAAGTCACAACTTGCTGCCTTGCTGAATAATACCGCAAATAGTTTTACAAACGTCGCGGAGGCTAACTTAGACTTGCAATTATAGTAAAACATGTTTAAAGGCATAAGGGCGGTTTTATTCTTTGGCGAAATAAAAGTTTAGTTACTAATGACTACGCAGTGTTAAATACGCTGCGTTTTGACTGTTTTTTTTTACAAAAGGCTTCAAATCTTGGAGATAAAAAATCATGGTAAATTGCTTTGAAAAAGAGCGGTTTTTAGACAACGTGATACTGACATTAGCCATAAATGAGAAATATCAAAATTACGTTAAAGCATTACTTGCAAATTAGCAATTCGCCCTTTATGCCTTGGAAACGACTGCTTCATAATCAGTCACGCAAAAAGCAGTGTAATTATCTACCAATATTACATAATATGGTATTATTTGTTAAATCATTTCAAAATTAAAAATGGAAGTAGATCACTAAACCTTTATCCTGTTCTTTAATTTTCAATTGTGACTATTTTACTGTACTATAATTATGACACAAATTCATTAAAAACCACTCACTAAATTTCAACAGCCAAATTCTTTAAAGAGCCATTCCACAGAATTTTTCCCATCTTGACTATTTTGCTTGTAAAACTTTAATGGCACTACTAATTTTGACGATGTAGTTTCAAATTCTGTGTAGTTAACATGATGTAGAACCGCAATTTTCACTGCCATGAGGTAAGTGATGAAATAAAGGAGGCATGGAGGACACAAAATATCACGTGGGGAAAATACTGGTGGATGGCAAAACCCAGCTTTCAACATGCAGGCGTCAAACCCATTTTTTTTAAAATGCACCAAAGTTAAGGTTTCGACAAATACCTAAAACCATTGTCTCAGAACGTTTCGTTGAATCGGTTAAAACTGAAATACCCATATACTTGGTATCCTGACCGCCTCACATCCACACCCTGGTCACTCAGAACTGAAGAAGTGATATCTCTTCCAAGGGTTCAGGTACCAAATGATTCATAGGGGTAGTAGGTAGGAAGAGCTAGGTGATCGCCCTTTCTATTTATCAATTACCATAATTTGACAGACAACATTTGATTAACAATGTGCTAAAATAGTAATGCGCAGGAAGCTTTTGTTCCCTGCATATTTCAAAATACACTAGATTAAATTAATCAAATCAAGCTTCAGACCCCTACACACCCAAAGATGGCATTATGTAGGTCACTAGCTATCCCTACATGGTCTACTGCATGTTGCAATCTGAGCAGTTTTTGCCAAGTTTGACAAACCAAACCGTTCTATAGCGCCATCTGGAGGAGAACAGAAATGATCTTCTCTGCTGCAATTGGTAGCTTAGCAGATTGTTTTAGTGTGTGTGTGTGTGTGTGTGTGTGTGTATGTGTGCTTGTGCGTGCTTAATCTTCAGCACCAAAGAAATGGCAATAATAATTCGATCCGGCACATATACAAATTAAGTAATAGTCATTTATGAGAATAACGCTTCTCCCTCCGTCCAGTCTTGTCTGCCACCGCAAAAAACGATTCTGCTTTCCGAATCTTATCTGAAAAACGACAGTGTCTGGTTACAAGAATCGCTTTTTGAAAAACGAAACTAGTTTCTAGTTAGTTCGTTTTTAAAAAAACAACACCAATTTCTGGTTGCCAGGTTCGTTTTTGAAAAACGAAACTGGAAACTAGAAACAAACTTAAGTGCCCCATATCTTGACACCTTCATATCTAACACCTTTTCTCAACGAAAAGAATATTTGAAAAGATAATTTTGAACTCAAAAACAGTGCTTTATATTATGGTTTATTGCACAATTTTCTGTAAGATTGTGCCAGAATGGGAGACGTCACCACTGACCCCAACCCGTATTTTTCTATTACTTTTTTAATAAAAAAACTGAAAAAATTGCGTAAGTTGATAACATTTATTTTCTAGAAAATGAAGGTTTTTTTGTTCTGCATAAACTTCTAATAATGACATATGGTTTCAAGAAAAAAAAAAAATCAAGAAATGACCCATTCTCTTGAATCCATTAAAGATAATGATAAACGTTCAAAATAGTTTTTTCTAAACTGTATGCTCAATTCTGCAGTAACATCAATTTACTGTAAGTGAAAAACTGCAAAATGTCAACAGGGGTAATCCATGTTATCTTTGATCAAATGAAATAAGTCACCAATTGTGAAGCAAAATAAACTAAGAATATCATAGTATTCAATATTCACAAGATTGCATCAGCAGCAAAAGGTGAAATGATTTTTTTAAACTAAATAAGCATAGCAGTATCCAAAATTACAAAATGTGTCAATTTATGAATAAATCTTCATATTTGACTATTAAAATGGTGTATTAAGAAGTCACAAATATTGATGTTGAAATCCAGCTCCTTTGGTGCACCCATAGAGCATGGTTTGGATTCGTGATCTCCGAGTGAACATGTAGATCCAGGTTTGGGCTCTCAATCATTTGGTGCACATCCAAAACCAGTGTGATGTCTTTAGTACTGTGAGCTTTATCTTGTATAAATTTTTAGTTAATAACTAACAATGTATACCATTCAGCCAAATAGAAGAAAAGAAAGAAAAGCAATTCAGTATAGTTTACCAAATTGAAACAGCATTAACCATCATACTTAAAAACAACCTGACATAATAAAAATTACTGAATTGCATTCACTTTTCAAAATTCACAGGGGGGTCTTGAGTCAACTGAACCAAAACTGACACTTGACTCTTATATAGGCCCCATTCATAACAGTTACATGTGGCGACCCACTAAAAGGCTTGCTGCCAAACTGCTAATAGACACTGAATAGATTCCCCGTGGGACGTATTCTAGTGGGTCGGACGTATTTGACCCTCAGAATAGTAAATCCACTGTCCTGAATAGGCCCTTAGAATCTTAAAATGCATCGACACAATTAATCCTTGAATATACAATTTATTTCTAGATATGCCCAACTCAATACTGAGTCAAGTGAATTCTATATCATCAGCTGCTTTCCGTGTGTGTACTCGTAGCTTCCAGGGCAGAATGTGCATCAGTGCTACTCTCCACATCTGTCATACAAATCTGTATTTTCTCATCTTCAGTTTTTGCACTTTTCATTCCCGGTTTTGTTTCCTCGCTTTCTGTCCCATGCACTCCGTCATCTTTGTTCAGAATTTTCACAGAGTTTGTCCTCACCACCACTTGTTTCCTTTGTTCTATGTTAGTCCGGCACAGAGGGCACACTTCCAGTTGCATAGCACAGTCCATGCAGAAGCCTGTGTGGTCACATGGCAGCAACATCACCGTGTCCTGCTTGTCAAAACATATCGTACACGAGTCTTCCTTCACCGTCACCTGCCGCAGCAAGGCAAGCCTCATGTGCCTGGGATATGAAAAGAAAAAACAATTATATGGACATTTTTGTATTCGTACAGAAATGCGACTTCCAATTTTTCAGGTTTACGGTCCCCAGATTCTGTGGAATGGCCACTTAGCCATTTTTTCACACATTTTTCCTTAATATCTAAAATAAGGTCTAATTTTATGGACAAATCACGTGTATACCAGTCATGCAGACCCCACCTCCCTCTGGATATTACGGTGAGAATGCCTCAAGATAGTAGAGCACACAATACTTTGAAGTAATAAGTCAGTGATTAAACTAAGAAAAAAAATTAACAATTGATCATTACTGGTAGAATAGTCATATTATCATATAGTTTATAATTTAGAAAGACGAGTGTGTGTGATTCTGTCTTGGACTTTTTTCTTTTATCCTTGAGGAGGAAATAAATGAATAATTTCGATCACTCTGTCAATGAGCTTCACAATAGGATCAATATATTTATACATTAACGAATTTTTGTGCATTTGTCTTCTCATTACATTAGTTTTCAAAAGTTGTATTTTAACCAGCCCAGTAAGAAAACAACATTTGTACCTTGGTAAAATAAGTTTTTCTTCATCTGTAAGACTCCCATAGTCATTGAATTTTTTAAATGCAACTTTAGGAGGGTACCGGAAAGGTTTCATCCCAAAATTGAATTCACACTGTTGAAAGGACATAAAACTTGCTGCAGCAAAAAATCCTGACCTAAATATAATATAGTATAATCACATAAAGATACAACCTCAGTGATAAATTATATTGAAAGATATAATGAAACATGACATAGTGTTATAATTATAGTAAGACGTACAAAACAAGCAGAAAATTTTGTTTATACATTTTAAGAAAATATTCTAAATATCTACTTTTTACCGGGAATGCTGACAATGATTAAGTACAAAAATCAACTATTTTACTGTAAAACAAAATAAACTAGAAAATCGAATTACTTCTCCCCCCTCTTCTACTCACCTGGCATGTGCAAACACCTGGTTATAGGCAGGTAGACAGTTACCATTTAAGGAGAAGATAATCTCCTGTTTGTCTAAGTCAAGTAGCAAACCAAGGATGTCTCCTGCAAAATACAATAGGGGAGCATTCAAGTTAACAGACAGACACATATCTAACTGTTATATCCAAAAATAAATATTTCTTTTGAAAAGGGAGAGAGAAAGGAGACCTGTCTTTAGATAGTTTTGGACAATGTTAGTGACTCAGTTACAATTATCATTTACATAAAAATGGCTTTCTATTCAGTGTTAAATTGCTAAATTGCTTTCCTCTTAAATAACATTTTAGACTAAAATACGGAATTAACTTTTTCAACATGGAAGGATTCTTATTCACCAATTACTCATAAAACTATTGTAGCTCTGAAGACCAGGATGTGACCATCATTCAACAAAAACTTCTGTTCACCATGGTAACAGTCAGATGCACTACTTTCCCACTCCACCAAAAGGCCTCCATTTCATTACTCATCTAGCCCATTTAACACAACAGCCAAAACAGTGGTGCTGAGGCTTTTGCCTAATACCAGTGTGATATTGAATTTCAAGAAGTTGAACTGAAGTTGACAGCAGCATTGTATTCACACAATAAGATAGGTGCTAGGTCGGGTTTCAATGGAACGGTTTCATGTCACTCTATGTGAGGTGGATTTGAATGGAGTCTATCTCTGGGAGACTGAATACACAGGAGATAAAGTGTCAGGAAATTGCTATTATATTACACCTGTTCTTATTACACAGACAATAACTACATCTACAAGGGAAAATGCTGGAAAAAAATTTTTTTTCATCTCTAAAGCAGTGTGGGACTGAGGGGATCATTTGAGAGGTTAATTCAACGGTTAAACCATTTGGGAGGAAAAACTACAGTAAAATCAGGTGACATGTGGTGCTGGGTTAAACAACATTTATTTGGCAGTTGCCACGGCAACACAGAGGTCAGCTGTTAATACTCTCCACCTACTGAGTGGGTAGTGTGTTTTTCACTGAGACTGGAATTTTTACAAACATTTAAAAGTGAGCGCAACATACACTGAGGTACTTAATTTTAGCATAAAATCTAAAAGTCCCGTGGCATCTGACATGGAACAAAACTCAAGTACCATTAAGTAAGTACTACAGATGGAAAAGTGAAGAACTCTGTGTACTGTACATTTACTAGTCTTATTCAGGCAACAAGTTAACTTCTGTTTAGGAAAGACATTAAAGAAAAAAGACATACAGCAGGGAAGTAGGAGCACAGTAAGCAGTTCTTTCACCACCACTGCTGAGGGTTGCCTTGTGAACTTTCCAACACCATAAACGGGGAAAAGGAAAGAACAGCAAAGACGACTCATCTCACTGGGCGAAATCATTGTGAATTTTACATTTTTTACTGACACGGAAGCTTCAGGTGTGCTTTTAAAACCCAGGAATAAAGAGACAGAATTTAAAAGGAAAGAAATATATTCCCCAATCCTCGACAGGAATTTGGATGCTTCATCTTTCAATATTAAAAAAGTTCACAAAAACCAACAAGCTGTGGAATGTGCTTAGGCCTAGCTAAAACTCGCTAAAGTAATAACATCACTATCATGGTGTTCACAATTCCGTCCACGGCTATTTCTTCTCAGTTTGGAGTGGGAAGTTTTGAAGTTGATGACAGTGAGAAGCTGTTAAAAGATTATCAGGCAGGTTTTATACGAGGTAAGTGCTAGACGGGGATAAATCTTTTTAATGATTCACATAATTAACATCAATACATTTTGTTTGAAATATATAACATATTTACATTCTTCACTATCAAATTAGTGTTGTAGAGACAGAAAAGTAATTGGTACTTATCTGATATCCCACAACTTTAAAGATGGCTGAGAGAGAGAGAGAGAGAGACAGAGAGAGAGAGATCTAAGTGTGAAAAAGAGAAAGATTGTGTTGGGATCACAACTACCACAATTCCTCATATCCAGACTGATGTGAAAGCAGAACTGTGTACACTAGCTAGTCCTATTTTCTTTCCCTCAGGCTTAAAGCATTGTTATTTTACTCCAAGTATTGACAACCCACTTACTAGCATTATACCAGCCACTCATGCACTCTATGATGGAGAGAAAAAAGGTCAAAATTATGAAAGAGGTTTTTCTTTGATTCTGTGCATTTGAGCTCTTTACAATATACCCTACGCAGCTATTTAATCCTCTTTCTGAAGAGTTCAAACTGTCTGCCGAGAGCGTAGTAGTCAACTATACAGACTGATATCACTAACATATTGCCCTCAGACAATTTATTATGGACAATAAACTAGAATTATTTACAGAATTCCCCCTATAGGAAATAAATGGGACCAGAGTTCAAATTAAATCAAATGCCCTGTGAGCCTATAGATTACACTGCATAGAGTGTTTCTTTCTAATAACAACAGCTATAACATCTGCTAAAATTTAAAATATAATTACATCTTTTAAAGTACACACATAATTATACCTTCTTAAGTTATCTAAAATGGTAATCAACTTTCATGGATGACTACCTCTATTATTTTATGTCTATTTATCCATCATTCTATCAAAAATAATCTGCTCAATTTTTTTAGTTAATCGTAAACTGTCTCAAACAGATGCACATCTTATAAATTATTTTCTAGCATGGCCTTTAATTCCTATCATCTAAAAGTAACAATTATGACCTATTACTGACTTAATTTGGCATTATTCAAATATTTAATTTGTGAATTTGCATGTTGCTTACATCTTTTCTTATTTCATAAAAAAGAGAAAGAAAATATGTGAATGCTCTAGAACTTCCATCTCATGAACTGAACTGGTGGAAGGAGAGGACAAAACATTCTCTGTGGGAGAAAAGTTCAATGGAATCTACCCAATTTAATCCATCTTCTAAAAAATTGAATAAACAGCAAATATTATTTAATTATCATCTCACACAGGTTAAAACTAATAAAAGCAACAAATGTCAAATGTCATAACATCAGTGAACATTAATTTTCACCAAGTCTTTGTAAAACCCTTTCTCCAATCCTTGACGACCATTATTTCCATTTCAACAAAGATCTTTTTCACTCCCTCCATCCATCTATTAAAACATGTCAACACGGCACCAGAATAGCCCGTGTTACAACAAAGTCTCTATCTGATTAGCTCTGAAGGAAACTCGACACTTTCTTCAATGTCACCTGCATATCTGACTAAACAATCACAGTGCCCTCTATTGATCTGAAACTTAGATCCAATTGGCCGAGCAGAAATAACAGAACTCTACTATAATTCCATTCAATCGCCTACTTTAACTCCACTGATCCGTTAAACAACACATTGATATGCTGATAAAGCCAATTGGAAAGGCCATAATGAAATTGTAAAAGTAAAAGGTAGGGTGGTAACATGGGTTATTTTCATTAGTAGTTATTGTTAAAGAATTCTCTACTACCTACGCGCCAGCCATCTGCATCTGACAGCGATATTTATGGGGACAGTGGAAGTTAGACGAGAAATGGACCACTATTAACCCCATCAAGATCTGGCTACTTTAGGTCTTAACAGATTTAAAACTTGGTCCAACCACCTGTGCCAAGAAGGAATTGACTGGAAGGTTTTTCTCACTTCTGAGTGGTCACAACTGTTAGCACGAAACATGCACACTCGGTGGAATGCGTAGGTCACAGCAAACAGACAAAATGGATTAACCGAGTTCGTCACAATACCCAACAAATCTCATTTAACAGGACAACAGACAGAACAGCTGGGCAATATATATTTTCAAAGAAGAAGACTAACTACAAACAGCCTGATTTTAGCTTTCAAATAAGGCAACATACAGTTTCAGAGTTTTACTCTATGCATAGCAACCCAATGCATAGTGGGGACAACCCCGGCTCACTAGGCCAGGCATAGGATGCAGTGCTACAAGGAAAGAGATACAAAACAAATCTGGAATAGTTTCAAGTGCTGGGGATGTCCACAAATAATCCAAAACTACTGTGGGAAGGTAGGTTTATCAAATAACTAGATCTAGTAATAAAACCCCATAAAGAACAAACCTCATGTTAATATATGGAAAGTATGCAAAGTGCTACATATAAACAGCATTGTGGCAAAAGAAACGTATTTTATAGTAAAATATTTCACCTATTAATTTGATATAACTGACAAATTGAGTATTTTGTTAAAACAAAATTGTCCAAGAAGAATCCCAGTTTTTAATATGTTAAAGATGTTATTGTCAAAAATTACCTACTGAAGCAGAATTACTTTAAAAGTTTAAAACTATAAAAGAAGAATTACTTTAAATAATCTTTTACAGAAATAATGACCTTCTACGGTAGAAATGCTTTTTCAAACCTTTACAGAAATAATTCAAAACATTAAACCCTCAGCAGAAGTTAACAAATCTCTGTCTCAATATATCTCCGCCACTTTTGCCAGGTCAAAAAACGCAACTCTCCCCATATAACCCTCTTGCTCTAAAACTTGTTAACGCATCATGAATCAGTTGGTAATTATGACATATTGCAACTGCTGCTAAAATTTACAGGACACAGCTGTTATAATGCCAGTAAAAACAATCCACTTGTCTTCACTCAAGGCACCAAGTCTTCACTCTAACCAGCAGAATACTACACAAAACACTTTATTAATAGATATATATTCATCTGCCAGCTATAAATAAAACCCAAATATTTTTTTCATAGCTGCCAGTATCTGCTTTATCTGCATGCCGCAAGTGCAATAAAACATATTATCTTAAGTGCATATACTTCTGCAAGTTTTTCCAGTGATCTAGTTATCTGTGGCAATAATTACATGTAACATAATATTATAATAATATTAATAACATTTTCCTCATATTTTTGTGCATAAGAATAAATCTTAATCACTTAAAATGATCATATATTGAAATATTTTCAATATATTAACAAGGATATTCTCAATCTTTTCACTGCAACTGCCTGAGAGACTTGTATTTTAGTGGAACAAGAAATCATCCTGAATCTTATTGGAAAGCTTTTATCCAAAGACCAATGAATGTAAAAAGGGGCACACTTAGACCAGATCTGACGCAATTCTTCTTTCATCCTTAACACCACCCCTCTCTATTTTGACATAAGCCAGGATTTCAGCTGTTAACTCCCCCCTCAGGATAGGGTTTATGCGTTTAATCTGAAATACTAATAGATACAGCCAATACTTGATATCAGAGTGAAAGCCCTATATGCTTGAAATAAGGCTTATACTGAAGACTTGATTTCAGTGTTGAGCATTCTGCAAAATCAAAAATTTCAAATGAACAAAATATTTCCTGACCTATACTAAGCACAACAAATCTGAGGATCCTCAAGTACATCTTTTAAGCCAAACTACACATTTTCATCCCACCAATAAAGATTAGTGAAAAAGTTCTTATGCTGACTGTTTTCTTTAACCAATATGTATCTTTTACACCTGATAAAAATATTTAATGTCTCATGACGCTCACAGATTAAATCAAACAGATCAGGTCCAAAACTGAGGCAGGGGAAGCCTAGAATGAGAGGCTTCCCCTAACAATAACTGAGTTATTATACTAGATTTAAGGTACACTCCATAGTTTGAAAATCCTCCAAATACTTATTTTCAGTATCCACAGCTTCTTATAAAAACTCACATACACCTTAAACACAATTTAACCCCTTAAATAATATTTTCTGGAGCATACCTGATGATGATATTTACATCAGAGCTTAGGAAGATGGTCGCTGGTCATAATGACTGACCAGTCATTGTATCCTAAATCAACCTGTATAAATTTAATCAAAGGTCAAATCCAAGTGCAGAGAGGGAGAGATAAATGATTCATGAGAAAACTGCTTATTTCCATGGAAAAATCCATTTTGGCAGATAAATCCCACTTAAATGAATTGCCCTTTAATTATACCATCTCAGCAGAAATCAGATCCTAAACAAGACAGCACTGTTCTGAAATGTTTTTTTTTTCCATTTTTAACAATTTTTAACATAAAACAAAATTAACAGTTTACTGCCATTTTTATATGATCAACTAAGAAAATTGATGAGATGGGAAAAATATCAACAGAGCAGTGTTAAATGTCCAATTTCTTCCATTCTGAGATTCTGAACATAGTGAATGATTGAATCTGACAAACTGCAATGATATGAGTTTTTTTCTATTTTTGAAACTTTATTACACAATACATGATAACAAGTTTACCATCTTTTTTACAAAATCAACTAATAATGTTGTAAAGATGCAGGAAATGTCAAACAAACACTTTTATGTATCTTATTAGTTTAATAATGAGACTGTTAACATGCCTAAGAATTGAATCTGAGGAAATGTGAAAAATATGCTGAAAAGTGAAAAAACAGCATAACTTCTACAATAATGGCCCGATCATACTGATTTTCGAACTTGACCTGCGTTTTATGAATATTCATCAGCTCTGTAAATATAAAGCCAAAAAGTAAAACTGCCCTCCACTTATCGTGTTTACAAGGAAAGTGCACGGCGCCGGCATCGGCATCGCCATCGCCATCGCCATCGGCGACGACAGACGCAGGTGATGGCAATATGTACAGACACATCTATATATATTTACTGTACTGTTTGAGAACAGTAAGTGACATGGTTTTTCTTAAATGGTCATCATGGGAGCAGTGCCCAAAATAGGTTTTTTTCAAATTTTGATGCAATATTACATAATGTTTAACAGCATAATGACCATCAATTTTTAATAATAAAATATTAGTATCATGGATATTCAGAAAATGTGACTAGCAAAGGTCTTCAGGCCCATGGAACTTCAAAGTCACAACTTGAAAATGCCAAAATGTAAACAAGACAGCACTGTTCTGAAATTTTTTTTTTTCCATTTTTAACAATTTTTAACATAAAACAAAATTAACAGTTTACTGCCATTTTTATATGATCAACTAAGAAAATTGATGAGATGGGAAAAATATCAATAGAGCAGTGTTAAATGTCCAATTTCTTCCATTCTGAGATTCTGAACATAGTGAATGATTGAATCTGACAAACTGCAATGATATGAGTTTATTTCCATTTTTGAAACTTTATTACACAATACACGATAACAAGTTTACCATCATTTTTACAAAATCAACTAACAATGTTGTAAAGATGCAGGAAATGTCAAACAAACACTTTTATGTATCTTATTAGTTTAATAATGAGACTGTTAACATGCCTAAGAATTGAATCTGAGGAAATGTGAAAAATATGCTGAAAAGTGAAAAAACAGCATAACTTCTACAATAATGGCCCGATCATACTGATTTTCGAACTTGACCCGCGTTTTATGAATATTCATCAGCTCTGTAAATATAAAGCCAAAAAGTAAAACTGCCCTCCACTTATCGTGTTTACAAGGAAAGTGCACGGCGCCGGCATCGGCATCGGCATCGGCATCGCCATCGCCATCGGCGACGACAGACGCAGGTGATGGCAATATGTACAGACACATCTGTGTCTGTACATAAAAACTTCACTGGCAGCTCAGTCCATAAAGTGAATCATGCTTAAGAGCCATACTGTTTTAAGAAACGAAACACCCATACCAGCACTAACAACAGACATAAAAGCTTCTTTTATTTCTCAGTCCTCATGCCTTCCAAAGTTTTAACTGTCTATGTATGTTGTATAAACTTATATGTAAAAGTAAAATGTAAATTTTAAACATTTTAATGCTCAATAAAATATTATTATAATCCTTTGTCTTTTTCACATCAGGCAGTGCATTTGATCAGTCCACTTTGTAGTTCTAACATGTTAATATTACTATAGGTTTACTTCCTTTGTTTATTTAAAGTACAGTAATTACTCAATCTTTTCAATGGTCAAAAATTACCTAACTTTCAGATGATAATTTTATAATCACAAAATTTATATTTCTATAAAGCATTTGTGGTGTTTTACTGCACAGAATAGAACTACAGAGTAGCTACCACTCAATAGAAATGTTCTAATTTTAAGAAATTATGATTTAAAAAATATAGTTTCTGTAAAATTCACAATCTTCCCCCAATGAAAAGCTTGAGTAATTGCCCTAAATTCATTAGCTGTTGAGTGTGGGGGCTACATTTAGGGGATTCTCTTGGGGAATAGTAGAATAAAAGTTGTCAATCTCTCACATTGGACCTGAGCAGTTATATTATGTGTACTGTTAGCTGTGGGAAGGTCCCTTGATGACAAGGATCTTTAACTGTACTTAAAAGCATTTTCTTAACAAAGAATAGAACCCAAACACCTGGATAAAAGGGGTTAGTGTCAGGGGACAATAACTAAATCCATTCCAGTGATCCATCTGATAGGCAGGTCATTATTCTGCAACCCTAAACATGCAATCTCAAGATCTCATTTTTTTTTTATTAAACTGATGCAAGGTGATTCATTTAAATGAAGTGAGCTATACTGATGACAAAGAAAGCTATATATTGTTGTAAAATACTAAACTAATATGGATATTGGTTGCCTTATTGAAACTTTTCACATAGGGTCCCTAGTCAAATATACTTTTTCAGATGATTGAGTGTCTGATCTATTTTCAAAATAAATTATTGAATTTTCATATCTGAAGAAGACAAACTTTTTGTCAAGGGAACATATGTAAACACATCTGCATGTGTGTGCATATGCAAATCATCATCTTTCACACATCTGAACTACTAGTTCTATACATACACACACACACACACACACACACACAGAGAGAGAGAGAGAGAGAGAGAGAGAGAGAGAGAGAGAGAGAGAGAGAGAGAGAGAGAGAGAGGGGGTAGAGGAGATTGTATACTGTGAATCTTTGTTTTCTCCTTATTTTTAAACATTTTTAATATTGCTATTATAGATAAGTGTTAATGCTGTAATTATAGAATGTATTGCCTGAACCTAGTCATTGTATAAATACCAATAAATGAATGTATCCCTCCATTCCAGGTAACTGCTTCTTCATAGATGAGCAGGGGGAGAGCAGTGGGGGGAAGGATGAGGATGCACTGGGCTACGTCAAGAAGAAGGCCTCGTTTGAGGAGAAGTTGGTGGGGATCAAGGGGCAGCAGATTGAGCTGGCCTTGCAGAGGTAAGAGTTTCCCCAGTGAAAACCACGTGTTTACTTCAGGTTGACAGACAGACTCCCCTGCTTTCTGCAATACCTTCTCTCACTTCTTTTTTTTAAATTAATTCTATGTCAAATAGCAGAAATGTCACATTTACGTGTGAATGCACTTAACAACCTGATATGATTTTTACAGCTGTTGTCAGTATCATTATTTTTGATTTTCAGAAAAATAATCTGTGCTCTTCTACCATGTCTTAAAATCAATCTTATGTCATTAAAAACATTTTCATGACCAGTTTATCAATGTTGAGTTATCAAAATTTCCAATGACATAATTTTAGGTTCAAGAAGTATATAGAAAAAAAGGAATCATGGGAAATGCGCCAGATGGCAGAACAAGTCAACCATATCCGCCATGACCAGCGTCTGCTGGAAATAGATCAGCGGAAAATTCACATGCAGCGAGAGAGGGCCATGCATCCATGGAAAGATTTCACCTACGAGGACCTGGCCCTGGCAAACCTGGAAAGATACTTGAACAAAAACTTACAAAAGAGCTGCTACTTGGAGAAGAAAATGCCAGTGACTTTACGGTATCAAGCAGATCCTAATTTTGTCTCTCCAACTGTAACAGAAGCAAGGAAAGCTCTACGTCAACAAGACTTTGCAAAAAGCTTGCAAAAAGAGAAGGAAAAACAGACTTTATTGAAGGAGAAAAATAAACAAGTTGCTCCTGATGTGATAGAACCTCAAAATGATCAAAATGAAAATAAAGACGAACTACAGCAAGCTACTACTACTTCTACCTTCCCGTCACGTTCTCAAAGTAAATCAGCCATGGGGGTGGTTGACAATTCCACCCACACCTCTCTCGGACCCCGTCCTGCTACCGTCACAGTGCCACAGGGTGAGACTGAGCAAACAAAACTGCCAGGGGTGGAGCCACTGTCCAAATCAAAAACTACAGTGGTTCCTGGAGAGACCAAAAAGGGAGAGAGTGGCGCTGGACTACAGAAATATTTTCTGAAGGTCCAGTTACCCACCATTGAACAGGTGGCTCTGACAAATAAACCCTCGAGTGGAGGCTACCAGGGAAGAGACAAGGCACAGAAGAATGCCACCATGTATAAACCTCTCCCGGCCCCCACCATCGAACCCATGCATATTGACGAAGACGATGTCTGTGTGAGGAAAAGTGAGGAGGAAATAGCTCGAATTATGCACTTCGTTTTGAACATGTCACGAGAGGAGGGCCAACCTGAGATTGATTACAAACCTCGCCCAAAAACAATAGCCTCAACCAGGAGGAGGGAGGGAGAGCTCCCTATACCAAAATGCAAAAAGGTGAGTCAAGACCAGGTGAAAAGGGAGGCCCGTGATGTCCACAAGAGGTTCAAGGAATACCTGAGCAAGCTGGAGCGCCAGAAGAAGGCAGCAGAGGAAGGGATGCTGGATGAATTCGTTAAGGCACTGGAGGAAGAAAAAGCTGAAGAAGCCAAGCAAAAGATGAAAGCAATAGCCAAGAAACGCTGGGCCAATGTTGGCAAGAAGAAAATCCAGATGGAACAAGGAGGAGGAGGAGAGAGTCAAGGTAAAGCCAAAAAGAAGAAACAGGACCCACTTCTGCTACAGGCCATGATAGCCGCAGCCAAGGCCAAGCAGGAGACGGAGACGTCCAAACCAAAGCGCGGCATCCCGACCCACTCCCAAAACAGATCCATGAGGCACACTGCCACTTTCAAGCTACGCAGGATGGTGGATGACCTTTTCAAAAGCAGGTCAACATACGAGCAACAAGAGTACGACAAGATCAAGGAGCAGCAGCAGCAACAACTTCAGGCAGATCCTGCACAACCCACTGTTACATCTTAGCTTAATTTTGTTAAGAAACCAACTATTTTAGTTATGACATCTCCAAACAAAAACCCCCAATTCATGACAATGCTTAGGAAGCAAAAATGAGTGGATGAAGAAACTGCAGAAGTGAAAGGTCAAGGTCATCATACTTTTTAATGCATTAAAATAACTATAAATATATGTTTTATAATAACTGCATTCTATTATTTCACTACTGAGTGACTGTTAATGTAAAAATTCCGTTGATCCAAAGGAGTAAATTAGACATTCACGAGATAAGAGCTCACAGAATATTGGTGCAAGTTCCAACATGACAAACAGTGGTGCCTATTTTATATGTGATTAAAAGGAGCATCCTCATGACATTCAGCATGACGGTTTTATATATTATATTAAATCTTCTAGCATATACATTTTTAGACCATACAATCACATTGTACAAAGAGAAGGTCTACAGTATATAATATTTTTTTTACTGACAAAGATAAAATTTGCTGTTAATTAATAACTTTCTGTTAGGTTTAAATATTGACATACTTGTTGAAGTCAGACATCAGGGAGGATCAGGGGATTCAATAAAACCACCCTTTTCCTGAACAATGAATAACCACTCACAGTCAGAATTTGATCCATGTTATTTACCAATTCTGAAGTGGGTTCAAAGGAAAAGATGATATTATACAGGCCACTTCTTCAGAAAAAGGATTCTAGTATTTGAAATTGTTGGTGAGAGGCCTGTGATCACACAAAGTTAACTTTAGAAACCTGATCACTCACAAACTAGATAAGCAAGTACTTCTAGATATAACTGCAGATAATGGGCATTAGGCACAGTGAGACCAGATTTAGATAAAATAAAATTCAGAATGATGTTTTTTAAAACAGCCCCGAATGACACGTAGCAGTATATCCAAGAGATGCCACTGTTGCTCAAATATTCATATAACTGATGAATATTTTTACTTATACGGTGATCTTTTAAGAATCAAAATGACGTCAACTTAGAACTGATGTGAACAGGCTGTGCTCTGACTTTTATAACTTCATCTTCAGGTACAATCACAGGAGAGTACTGTTAATAAGTACCACCAGATCATATCTCTGTCACTTCATGGTCCATGACATGTTTTTCCCATGCACTGTATCATATTTTACAAAATAAATGATGTTATGAACTTTGATGTGCAGGTGTAATTATGTGGAGGAAATGGGAAATGGCTTTAAACTGATGACACCAGTATGACATTCATGACTCGCCTCTGTGTGTGTGTGTGTGTGTGTGCACGAGTGCGTGTGTGTGTGCGTGTATGTATGTATGTATGTGATTGGGCATGTGTGTGTGTATGTGTGTGTATGTGATTGTGTGATTGGGCATGTGTGTGTGTGTGTTTGTGTGCATATGTGTGTATGTGTGTGTGTGTGTGTGTTGTGTGTGTGTGTGTGTGTGTGTGTGTGTGTGTGTGTGTGTGTGTGTGTGTGTGTGTGTGTGTGTGAGAAAGAGAGAGAAAATCATACTGTTTAAAAGAAAAATAACTTCCAGTGTGCTGAAGGTCAAAGTAAGGCTCAGTAAGTCATGCTGTCCTGATCCATCAATGTTCAAATACTTATAAATATATGTGTATGCCTATACAATGTATGCATATCTATACCTGCAGTTTATCTTTTTTTACACACAAGATTTTGAGTTCTAAAAAACTGCAGGAAGAAATGATCCAGTGGCCCTATGAACAGATGCTCAGGGGCCACTTTAGTTGGAGAGCTGCCATGTAAATAGCAGATTTCAAATTTAAATAGGAAAAAAAAAGTCTATTACAAAGTCTGTCTGTGATTACCTGGTTTCCAACATGGATGGGAGTGATGTTCACACTTGGCATTGTACCATATTAGCTGCCGGCAGCCATCATAAGCCAGGGAGTACTCATCATCTCCTATCCCATTACCCTCCTGAAAGAAGAAAAGAAAGCTTTTAAGGGAAACACCATTTTCCTCCTGAGGTCTAAAAAGGAAAATCTTTCATTAAAAACATGGTAATTGAACAGATTTTAAAACAATTAATTTCTGTTTGAATGGCAATCCATTCTCTCTCTTGCCTCTCAAAAGCAGATGAGGAAGCTGTGGGTTTTTTTGGTAGAGATGAAAGAGGTATGAACAGATATATGAGTACTTCAGAACCAGGGGAATATCTCATTCTTTGGGAATAATACTGTAAAAATGGTTATCTATACTAACATAATTGAGGAATTTGCTGTTCTTGGTGGCCCATCCTATCTGCATGACTCCTGGAGTGATCACCATGACCTCGTAGTACCACACTCCCGTGTTGGCTTGAAACGTGCATCGCACACTCTCAAACGACGATGCGTCACACCTGGCCTGATAAAATGCCAGAGATATAACATTTAAACAAGCTGGTTCTTGAGCCCTACCATTGGTTATCTGTGGCCTTGAAAAATGGGTCAAGGTGGCTTATCCAATTAAACATTTTATTACTATTTTTCAGCTTTATTTCAGAGAAAATGACATTACTATTTTTCAGCTATATTTCAGAGAAAATGGCATTTGGAATTGGGAGTTGTCATTTCATTACTTACACTTAAACATGAAGTATATAATATTTTCCATTGAATGATAAAAATCCTGAAGAGATCCTTAAATTAGCAACTTTTTCAGTTGAGATGCACATCTATCCATTACCTACCTCTAGCCCAGATGGTGCAATCTTCAGGTTCTCACTGACATCATTGCAGTTTAGTATTACATTTTTGCCCGAGTGGTCCATTGACTTGTAGGTGAAATTGCGTCCCTGAACATTAAAATAAAAAAAATAAAAAAAATGAAACACCTTTCAAATCAGTTTTCGGTGTATTTTTAAAGTAAACACTAAAGTTGTTGAAAATGTCAATGGCAACAATTAGTTAAGTTTCATCTGTCAAATGTCATCAAAAAAGTTTTAACACAAAAAAGAGTTTACTTGTCAATGTACTTAACTATTGTCTACATTGTATATGTTTTTCAAATTTGCTACAGAAAATGTTTAGAAAAGCTTACCGTTGGCACAACTGATCAAGGGCATGAAAATAAAGAAGAAAAATATTAATCAAAAGTTAATCAAAATGGAAACTTACACATGATCAAATTATGCTCAAATCACTCATCAGAACTCAAAACAGACCAACACATTACCCACGAAAGGACAGTACACGAGATATTTTTTGTATCTTTAGGCACTTATCCAGGACAGGCAAAATCTTTCACATAAAATAATTTCTTTAGTCACTTATCCAGGACAGGCCAAAAAAAAAAAAATTAATATCACACATCCTTGAAAATACTGCCTGGGGAAAAATTTAGCTGGGAAATATGGATCAGTTAAAAACAGTGCAACACTCCAAAACTCCCTACACAAATTATCCAGCGTCCACTGTGCACAGAAGGTGACCTCTCTCCTAGTGTCCAGCTGGCCGTTGACCCCGCCCCAGGCCTCCAGGGTCTCCAGGGGGTTGGGCACCATCTGGTCCAGAGCCTGAGATATGGTGGACTTGTTTTCACCTGGAATATTAAACACACACACTTGGTCACACCTGAGAGTCACAGTGCAAGAAAATTTTATTTCTGTTTTCAATTTTTTCAATTATTTTTCTACTTATTTGGTTTAAAAGAGTTAAGTTGACAGAGACAAGCCCCCCCCCCCCCTGCTTTTTTCCCCCAAATTAATTTTCAGAATGTTCCAGAAAGTATTACTGCTGTGATATGGGATATGTATATAATCTTAGACTACACAGATTACAAATCATTTTTGTGTCAAAAATCTCCATTATTTATATTCATTTAGTCACTTACTTGTTTGAGCAAACTTTTCCAGTGCAACAATGGAATGCAAAATCACAATTGGATCACAGTCAGATTCCTGGCAACAGAACAGTAATCAAAAGATTATCACAGATTATCACAATTATATAGCTAATGCACAAGTGAATTAGTATCACTGAATGTAAATAAAATTCCACAGGTATCAATAATAAAAATTAACTCAATTTGTGATAGAAAATTAATTTTGAAATATTCATGAATTGCGTATATAAGTGGAAACATTCATTTCACTTACCAAGTTAGTAAATAAATAGTCCAGTACATTGCCAGTCATCAAGCAAGTACTGTTTGGGCCTGAAAAATAAAAACATCACTTCTAGATATACTTAAATTGAATTCACTATTCTGCATTCATTTGTTCTGGAATAAAATAATCAAGACCTGTTCTGGAATAAAAAAAATCAAGACCTTCCATGCAGAGGGAATAAGAACAACACTTCTAGTGCAAATACTAACCGAGCAACAAGTGCTGGAACTGGACTCCCCCCCATGCAACCACCACCAGTGAATGGTTATGGTTCTGAATCATTGAATGGTATTTTTGTTCCAAAATCATGCACTCCACAAGTGAGATGTCAAGTAACAAAAAAAAAAATAAAGATAATAAAAATAAATAAATAATAAAACAAGGTCATCCATTATCCCATGACTTAACCACACTGCCCTTCTTACCTGCCATTTTTTCTGCCAAACATCCCAACACAATACATGTATTCCTTTGCCTCTGGATATTTTTGGATTTCCTCTCATCTAAGGCAGTCTTCTTTCCTATCTTGAGATTTGAGGTTATCTTTGCTATTGTCCCCTGAAGTATAGCAACAGACATTTCATTAACAATTGATTCCACTATCACACCTGGGAAGAATTCATATGATAAAAAAAAACTTTATAATCAACTTCAAAATAGTTTTCAAAAATTGCCATCATACACCCTACTAATTGCTATAAAAAATCTTTTCTATTTGCAGGTGGAGAATGTAAAAGGTGATTTATTCCAATTTTTGTATCGTGTCAAAGATATAAAGAGGCTTATTGTCACTTAGAGGAAAATAATAAATTAAATTCTGAATAAAAATCTCCACCTAACTGGGAGCCAATAAAGCTATTTTAAAAGATGTTAAGTGAATAGTGTGGTCACCACCATACCCCTACCTTACTAGGCAATGGACATTCGTCCAGTAGTAATGTGATAGTAGCAGGACCCAGGGGGTCTTCCAGTGGTATGACCTTGACCAAAGAACTGACCACAAGTAGCCATCCACTTTCTGTGTCTGCAATCTTATGTATGGCAAGCAAGGAATGGGGTAGAGCTCGGTCACTGAAATATTCAAAATATGAAATAAATTCTCTGGATCAGTTTTTACAGCTGAAAGGCAATTCAACAATGCTTTCCCATAGAATCGTATGACATTTTTACCAATCTATAATACTTTCTGCTATGCCCTTTCCATCCAATTTTAGTCCAAGAATAAGGTTCAACTGATTTTGCCCTCATTCACAATGCACGATGAAAACACTTTGTTGTAGAAAAAATACCGTAGTTTAAACCTTCTTATCTGCTCCAACCCACTTACTTATCCACCAAGGTTTTGATGTTATACATAGTGTTCAGGATCAAGCTCTCTATAATGTCCAAGTGATTAAGTGGCTCCGTGACAATATGACCCAGGGGCACCTGTCTACGTGATGGATTATCCACACTGTCACTGATCTCCCCAGGGTGTCCCTGTGATCCCCGGGGCGTATCCTTACACAGGCAAGCACCCATGGTTGAAGTGTAAATCCTACTGAGGAGTCTTTGAAAGGAGGAGGACTGGAGGGTGATGACAGAGAGCCAAACCAGAATGATCATCACTGTCCAACGCCTGGTTTATTTATATGATATCAGTCTTCATCCTGGGCCACAGCATCACAGTGGAGACATGGCTTTTATGTTACTCATTAACAGCAGTCACCTGATTTCACAAACCTATATAATAAAGAAAAATTTATGTACAAAACTGAAAAAACAATGCCCTGTGACTGATAACTTCAAAAAAGTCTATTTTTTGTCATAATGCAGATCAAAATGTCACAAAACGTCCTGACAAATCATTAATGATACTTTTACCTGACTGGAGCTGACAAGAAATGTGATATAAAGAGATACTGAATCATCAAACTGGTCAAGTATATTTGCCGATGATATAAAGGTTAACAAGTGCCCTTCACATCTGAACAGCAGATAATGAAATATTCCACCTATCAACATCTGCTGTTATTACTATAACATCTGTAAGAAAGTACCACTTCAGAGATGAGCTTACATGCAACCTTCAGAGAAAAAACAGAGTGAGCACCTCTGAACAACTTGCAAGTACATATCACTTACTCTCTGACCACAAGGGTTGCTAGTAGTTTTTTTTTTACGATATGGTATACAGAACAGACCTGCAAATGCAAAAGCCATATGATTTCCTTCCACTCATATCAATTGATAATAAAACTTTTCCTCTTAACAAAAAAAAATTCCCCTAAAGTCAAAGTGCAGTTGACTCATTGATATAAATATTAGATAGTTGGGGCTTAAAGCAATAATAACTCTTCCTTTGAGATTAAAAAATCCACAAGAAATACATTGTAAACAATGCATGGAAATGTATTCTTTTGCATTTTACCACTAAAACGGCCGTTATTGTAGTAAAACTAAAATCTGTGCTTGTCAGTAGGGCTTTCGATGCCTTTCTTCCCGGTCGTCAAGGCATTCGTTGCCAATGACATTTGGGTGTCATGCGGATTCTCGTGTTCATTTGAGACCAAAATAACATATGGCGCCAAACGCTAGTGCAGTCCGCAGACGTAAGTTGCGAGTTTTTGTACAGTGCGTCGGATAACGAACAGCCCAGAATGGCACACATTGNTTTCACCTAACTGGGAGCCAATAAAGCTATTTTAAAAGATGTGAATAGTGTGGTCACCACCATACCCCTACCTTACTAGGCAATGGACATTCGTCCAGTAGTAATGTGATAGTAGCAGGACCCAGGGGGTCTTCCAGTGGTATGACCTTGACCAAAGAACTGACCACAAGTAGCCATCCACTTTCTGTGTCTGCAATCTTATGTATGGCAAGCAAGGAATGGGGTAGAGCTCGGTCACTGAAATATTCAAAATATGAAATTAATTCTCTGGATCAGTTTTTACAGCTGAAAGACAATTCAACAATGCTTTCCCATAGAACCGTATGACATTTTTACCAACCTATAATACTTTCTGCTATGCCCTTTCCATCCAATTTTAGTCCAAGCATAAGGTTCAACTGATTTTGCTCTCATTCACAATGCATGAAGTGCAACACGATGAAAACACTTTGTTGTGGAAAAAATACCGTAGTTTAAACCTTCTTATCTGCTCCAACCCACTTACTTATCCACCAAGGTTTTGATGTTATACATTGTGTTCAGGATCAAGCTCTCTATGATGTCCAAGTGATTAAGTGGCTCCGTGACAATATGACCCAGGGGCACCTGTCTACGTGAAGGATTATCCACACTGTCACTGATCTCCACGGGGTGTCCCTGTGATCCCCGGGGCGTATCCTTACACAGGCAAGCACCCATGGTTAATGTGTAAATCCTACTGAGGAGTCTTTGAAAGGAGGAGGACTGGAGGGTGATGACAGAGAGCCAGACCAGAATGATCATCACTGTCCAACGCCTGGTTTATTTATATGATATCAGTCTTCATCCTGGGCCACAGCATCACAGTGGAGACATGGCTTTTATGTTACTCATTAACAGCAGTCACCTGATTTCACAAACCTATATAATAAAGAAAATTTTATGTACAAAAACTGAAAAAATAATGCCCTGTGACTGATAACTTCAAAGAAGTCTATGTATTTTTCATAATGCAGATCAAAATGTCACAGAACATCCTGTCAAATCATTAATGATACTTTTACCTGACTGGAGCTGACAAGAAATGTGATATAAAGAGATACTGAATCATCAAACTGGTCAAGTATATTTGCCAATGCTACAAAGGTTAACAAGTGCCCTTCACATCTGAACAGTACTGTAGATAATGAAATATTCCACCTATCAACATCTGCTGTTATTACTATAACATCTGTAAGAAAGTACCACTTCAGAGATGAGCTTACATGCAACCTTCAGAGAAAAAACAGAGTGATCACCTCTGAACAACTTGCAATGGCAAGTACATATCACTTACTCTCTGACCACAAGGGTTGCTAGTAGTTTTTTTTTTTTACAATATGGTATACAGAACAGACCTGCAAATGCAAAAGCCATATGATTTCCTTCCACTCATATCAATTGATAATAAAACTTTTCCTCTTAACAAAAAAAAAAAAATTCCCCTAAAGTCAAAGTGCAGTTGACTCATTGATATAAATATTAGATAGTTGGGGCTTAAAGCAATAATAACTCTTCCTTTGAGATTAAAAAATCCGCAAGAAATACAATGTAAACAACGCATGGAAATGTATTCTTTTGCATTTTACCACTAAAACGGCCGTTATTGTAGTAAAACTAAAATCTGTGCTTGTCAGTAAGGATTTTGATGCCTTTCAAATTCTTCCCGGTCGTCAAGGCATTCGTTGCCAATGACATTTGGGTGTCATGTGGATTCTCGCGTTCATTTGAGACCAAAATTACATATGGCGCCAAACGCTAGTGCAGTCCGCAGACGTAAGTTGCGAGTTTTTGTACAGTGCGTCGGATAACGAACAGCCCAGAATGGCACACATTGTGGATATAAATGCATTTTTAACAAAAAGACGAATATATATCATGAATCTTATATTATTGTTATATAGTGTTGTTGTTGTCTGCTTTTCCCGCGGCTTTAAGTAGGTCACCAGTGACTATGCAATGTCAGAGAGAGCTTCGTCAGTTAAAATCTCTTAAGAGATTTTAACAAAAAACTGTACGTTTAGGAAAAAACCCTGGACTAACTTTGAATGCAGGAATGGGGTTGTTGACCATTGGTAATTACGGGAAAAATGCCGTTTTTTCCAGGAAAATCCAATTTTTGGCCAAAACGAAGAGTTATTATGACTTTAATGGTGTGACAGTTTCTTTAGGTGATATTTTGTTTCAATGGCCTTGTTATACCGATCTTTCACTTCAAGTCACTGCATTACATACACCACATCATCATCATCATTGCTCTTCGTCCCGCGTGGGACATAAGGCCACACATACACCACATAATATGGGCATAATATTCTACTTGATATATAAAATGACAATGGTAAATCACCCCCCCCCCCCAAAAAAAAAACCCTTTGTCTTATGTACCTTCTTTAAAACAGTTGAGTCATAAAATATCCATAAATTAACAATAAAATTTACAGGAAGGGTTTCACTTTTAGTTTGAAAGCCACTCAGTAAATTTAACATAAAACAAAAATATGGTTTGGCAGTTATGGGGCAAACATTACTAAAATTCTGCAAAAAAATAAAAAATAAAATAAAATAAAATAAAAACATAAATGTAAACTGATCATGTGAATTTTTGAAAGCAACCTGCTTCTTAATCAAACAAAGTCACTCAGTAATTTCAAAGTAAAACAAAAATACGGTTTGGGGCAAACGACATGTGCCGGACATTGATGGCAACAGCCACAGCAACGGCAACGACACAGACAGACAGACCAATCAGAATATATACACTGTGTCTGTACATATATAAAAAAATAACATGGAGGATTTACGAGATGGGGAATACCCTGCAAACATGCCTAACCACCAAATCGTCGTTTTAAAGAAGCCGTCAGATTTTCGTTGGGATTCCAAAACCAGGGTAGTTTTTTTTTTAATAAATGAGCCCATACCGATAGTACTGAAAATCGATACAACATACGAAATAACACATTTCATTACTTACCTACCTGGCAAGTTATTAACTAAAACATTTTCAACACATCTATTTAGCGTAATACTGGTATCTTCAACAAACAACTGGGCGTTGATATATTTCTTTTAGAAATAGTGCAATTCCGACGTAGGCTATCGTGTCTTCCTTACTTGCAATGATACTCTTTAACTGCCCAGACAGCACTAGAAACTAAAAGAAACTAAAAGTTCAGAAATAAAATTACCTACTTCCGCCATGACAGGTGTTTACACAGGGCCTCATGGGAAAACAACTATTTTACACATTATTTCATTTCTATTGACGATTAAGTTAAAATGTGTAAATTCATTAAGCTTTTTACCACAAAAATAATTTCCTTTATAATGTAATCATCTTTTGACTCCCCTTTCTTTTATGTGATCAATTATACGGAGTAAGTCGATAAACACCGAGGATAGCCGATCTATGCAAACATAGAAACAAGCATCGACTCGGTCAGGCTTAAAAATGTACGAGGAAGAAAAGGACGACAAGATAATCCGTGTGAGCACAGATACAGATGAATTTGTAATGAGAGGAAGACCATGTGAACTGTCAGCTTTTGCATTTGTACCAACGGAGAGAAATGTGCCAAAAGAAAGAACTTATTTCAACAGCGAGAGACAGGTGGGTCTGATGTTGTTTTCATTGGTTACAACATGGCCGCCGTCTGGAAATGCATCAATGTTTAGTCTGGAAACGTTCCGTTGTAACCCTGATCAGTTGATGAATCTACGAAACACATAAAACAATCATTCTAACAGGACACTTTATTACCATATTGAAAGGTTGAAACCAGTGTGGTATTTAATTTAAACGAATAGAATAAAATGGCAAATGACGTATAATGCATATACGCCCAGTATACAGTGGCAGTGTATGGAAATTGATTTTCCGTATATTTCTCATTTCAGGAGAGGTATTCAAGCTCAACATATGATCGCTTATTTAGAAAGCCAGAGCTGTACAACATGTACCTTCACAAGGATGACAGAGAACATGCCAAGTCACGAGGACTCACAGTCAACAATGAGGTCAGCTTTCAAGTCTTAAGTTCAGCAGTTAATACTTTGTTCAGTTGTCAGGACCTAACAGATTGTCCTTAACCAAACACCAGTGAAAGTTATGCTTGGCCAGTGATAAAAAATGTTTAGTTACCAGCCACTATTTTTGATTAGACACAAATAAAACACAATTGAGAAATCACCCCAAAAGCATTTTATAGTAATAATTTTTCTTTTTGTGCAGGCTTCAGAAAAATGTCTTATCAATTTTTTTTCATCATTTTAGGAAAAAGTGAAAGTTGTCCCTACATTGTCATCTTCAGACTACGGTCATAGGTTAGATAACGAGTACGACCCTCCCGACAGAAAACATGTGAGGATAGGTCATGTGCAGTCAGAGTTCTACAGGAGAAATGATATCAATATAAAAGATGCCAAATACTGAAACATAGGGATTAAATATTGAGGCATCAAACTTCTGCAATTGAAGAACAGTGCAACAGTAGTCACAAGAATGTGCACATGACCAGATCTTAATTTTCGAAGATTTCTGCATCGTATTTCATCATTTTACCATCTTCCATCTCATATTTCATCTCTCAAATGAATGACTGACAATGGCACACACTCTGATTAGCCTAAAGAGTTACTTACCATCATCTCCCAAACAGTAAGCAGATGATGTGCTATGAAATAGCCGTTTACATGATGTGCTATGTGCTATGAAATAGCCGTTTACAGGAGGCATTTTTGTTTGAAAAAGAAGAGAACAATCATGCCTTGTAGCTGTGGTACCAGACTGACAACTACAATATAAGGCCTAGGGGCCGTGTTGAGGAATGACCAGAAATTATAACTGTGACAGTTGCCTCAGAAAGGCTAAGAGATCAGCCTGCTAGAGTTGAAGTGAAAATTGGTTGGCCTATGTTTTTCTTTTAGGCCTTTTTCCCATAGGGACCATCTGTCTACACGGATCGACCCAACTCTGTGGGGACTCTTGCTGAATGCAGTCAGTTTAGCATATTAAAGTGTTTCCTCCTTGCCTCAGTAAAATACAGAAAAGGTGGTGATTACAAAAGGAAACGAGACCTGTCATTCAGTTAAGCTGATTGCAATCAGCAAGAGTGCCAACAGAGTTGAGTCGTCCAAGGTGGACTAATGGTGTCTATGGGAATGGGATCTCTGTGAAACGTGGTTCCAGAGCTTGAAACAAAGAACCTAGTCTTTGTACCAATCGACAATTGTATCTGCATAATACATTCATTACACCAACTTGGTTTAGGAAGATTAAAACTTTTCACTCCCATTTTAATAGCAGGTCTTGACATTTTAAATATGTAGTGACAGTTATGGATTTCCTTTTTTGTTTTGTTCATTGAAAAAGTTTATTGTACTCAAATACTTCACAACCATTGTACAGAATTGTAGTTAAGAATTTTGTGGCAAGGTATTTTCCTGCCTGCAAATAAAGAACCATTCATTTCCAGTCAAATAAGTTTTACCTGTCTGCACTGATAAAGGTGTTTGCACACGACATCAGTAGCACTTGCTAGAGTTGAATTCAATTTTAATGCACAAACTGAAGTTGTTTCAATTATTACACAATTAACACATATCACAATCTTATCAACACATTTTCCAAGTCTGAAAAAAAACCCAATATTGACTGATGCCCAATACATCTGAAAGAAGTGGTTTTAAACTTTGCTTTCGGCAGAAATTGTAAAATTGGAACTCCTGCACAACAACAAAAATTGTAACACGAATCAAGATATATGCAACTTTTTATTATAAATATTGAATTCAATCTGATAATACATTCTTCAAAAGGTACACCTGTCGCACAACAACAACAACTGCTATCTTAATTATAGTTAAAGCACCTTACAGATCAGAAACAATCATTACATTGCACTTTAATCATGAACTACTACAACTTGATTCAAACAAAGACCAGATGAGAAAAGACATTAGTCCAAACTGCCTGCTTTTTTCACTGTTACTAAAGATTTCATAAATTAACCAGTATCTTAACTCGATTTAAAAATAGATCCAGCCTCCTCTCCGGTACACAAAAACATGGATATCCTCCAAAGGGAGAAAATTCTGTAAGACAACAATACACTGTAACTTAGCTAAACAATAACCATCTACTGTGAATAACGCTGTCAGACCTGACAACAACAAATTCATAAATTTGCCAATAGCAGTGCTGAACTTTTACCAAACTTCATCTAAACTCCTTAGTTCAAAAATAATTCTGAATACAATATACCTCCTTTGTATATATTCAGCACAGACTTTAAACAAACTTAGTCTGAGCACACATATCTCACTGTCCAGTGTAGTCGACTTCCTTAAACATTTGTCAGAACACCATTTGGGGGGGGGGGGGGGGGGGGGGGGTGGAGTTTGGGGTAGGATGGTACACTGGTAACAGGAATTTCTCCATACAGTGCAGGCACTTTCCTTATTTAAAAAAAAACATTCTGTATGCGTATATAGACTCCTGACACAGGTGTCAACTGGCCTTCTTCATTTTCAAGTAATAATCATAACTGGGAAACATTTGTACACATTAATATGTTACAGTGATGTGTTTTCTATGGATTTTACTTTCTTCAGATTTTCCACAGATGAATATGTAGAATACTTGCTCACTACCGAGGTCCAAGTACAAAGACCAAGGGACACTCAAGTTGAAAACTATTCATTTTTTCTTGAATTGTTTATGAACCTACTACAATATTTATGCCATCTTTAACAATGTGCTGAAGCTTTAAAGTTTAGGGAAATTTTCTTTAAAATCCCAGAAGCTACATTATTCTTTGGAATCAATAAGAAAACAGAAGTAAAATGGACAGGGCGATTTTCCATCATTTCCAATCTAACGCAATTCTTTATAATTATTTGTTTGGCAGAACATTTTCCTACAATAATGCTGCTAGTTTATAACATTTGTGAAAGTTAACATTCTCTCACATTTATATGTTAAACTTTTTTTTTTACGAGCAAGTTTTCTCAAGGCAGACTTTCAATCAAATGACAATTTCTTAGATAGTAATAATATACAATCTCCAATAAATACAATAAACTGCATTTTATGCTACCATCTATGTAAATAATTTTATTCCACAACTACAACATCATCTTCGAGAGCAACATCATTCCTGGGGATACTGCCGTTGTCCTTAACAACAGCGTTACCCACATCAATCTCCTTAGAAAGTCCACTAATTCCATACTTCTTCAGAACCCTACGTGATAACCTCTCTATTCTGACATGACACTTCTTTGTGTGCCCCATGAGGTGGATTCTGTATGCCTTCCCCTCATAGCACCGACCACATAAGTTACACCGCACCTTTTCGTGCAGGTCCAACATATGCTGTCTGAGGGCCGTAGTGGACAGTGCCCCAAAGCCACACTTGTTACACATGAAAAGCTTCTCCTTGTGGGCCAAGAACAAATGGTAGCCCAGCTCGTCCAGAGAGTTGAACTTCACTGAGCAGTGGCGGCATCCTAACCCACCGTGTTTCTCTCCGAAATGATGGTAGTACTCCTGCACATTGGCAAAATTGCTAATACCACAGGTCTTGCACTCATAGGGAGTACTCTGCGTCATTACACGAGGACTGGTCGTGGGTTTCCCTTTTGGGACAGCCTTCTTCCTGGATGCTGGCAGAGTGGCGAATGCAGGAGTTTTCTCGATTCTATCTCTGGCCACAGCAGCTGTTCTGACCTCTGCAACCATTTTCATTGGCTGTAAACTCAGTCCA